ACGACATGATCACGACCACGACCACGACCGTGTGAGTTGAGAGAGAAGTACATTGATGTCATGTTGACCGGGGGAGAGACGATGGGCGTACGCTACGAAAGGCCACGGGCCTCCACACGCCAAAGTAGCATATCGGGCAGGTTACATGCGTCAAAAGGGTCAAACGGACGGACGGACGAACGGACGAACGTTCCGCTGCTGAAAGTCCTCGCTTCGGCGGCAATTTTCCTTCCGAGCGAGGCTGGCGTGCGGCCTTGCAGGCGAAGGGAAAGGGTCGCAGCGGAGGTAGATGGCGGGAGGCTTACGACTTCTTTCTTCGTCCGAGGCGGGAGTGGAGGCACGGTGTAGCTGGAGGGCAAGAAGTGGACGGTACAGTACAGTTGAGTTACAGACAGGTATATACAATGCAGATCACTCTCGCTCGCGTCGCTTTAGAAACTCGACTATACATCCATTCCACTTCATATCCCATATCAGAAAAATCATGAGCCATAGCATCGCTGCTGCCTTCCCACCCTCGCAATCCCATCCTCCGTGCGCCTCGCGCGGATACCTTGTGCAATAATACGTACCCTACGCCTCGCGCCTCAATCCTTTGTGCAAACGATGCCTCGCCCGCCAGGTATGCCTAGACCAAACACAAACCCCCCTCACTGTCGTCCACATGCCATACACTAGCCAAACCCTGCAGCACCTCCGTCTTCTCTCCCCTCCTCTCCCCCGTCCTCTCCCCGCTCGTCCCAGCACTCCCCTCGAAACCCTTGCTCTTCGACAACAACCTCCGCGCCCAAGCATCCACAGCCACCTCCCCGGTCTCATCTCTCGCCTGCCTCAGAAAGGGGATGAGCGCTGTGCCGCCTGTGCCTCTGAGATCCTTGCGTGGTCGCTCTGCCACAGCTTTCCCGCCTGCAGCCGAGCTCTTCGAACGCACAGGCAGTCCCGGCTTCCCACCCTCCTCCGTCCCCCTCATCTTCTCCATCGCCTCCTTCTCCTTCTTTCCCTTCGCCGCCTGGGACGGAAGAATCACATACCTCGACACGATCCGAATATGCCCTCCCCGAAAAGCCGCTAACATAGCAACCGCGGCATCGAACGCTCCCGCCAACTCCCGGTCCTCTTGTCGGAACCTCTGCGCGAATTGTCGCAGATTCGCCACCCGCTCGACGGCGGCGAGGAAGCGGGCGTGTGGACCGGGCATGTAGGCGCGCATCTCGAGGTGGAAGGATTTCTCCGGCGGGGCTGGCCGGGGCTTCTTCTGCTCTGCGCTGTGGTCGTGGGGGGTAGAGGTAGGGGTGGGTGTGGTGGAGGAGCCGGTAGGGCGGTGAGTAATACCCAGCGCGACGTCGAAGAATTGGATAAGACTCGACTGCGCGTTACTCCCCCCACTATACTGGACGTGTCGCTGCTTGTTCATCGGCCCGCCGTTGTCGAATACCACTCCATTAGGCAGCCCGGCATCGGCCATGTTCTTGCTGCCAGCGAGGTAAGGGCGTATGCGATGGTAGAAAACGTGCGGATCGCAGTTATCGTACATACGCTGCAGCAACCCGCCCAGCTCATCCAAGCGCTCTGCGAAAGTGCGGAGAGCCTCGGTCACGGCCGCGCGGTCGTTGCGGCGCACCGCGGCGATGGCGGAGAGGAGGAGGGGGATGAGGGGCGCGCCGCGGGCTTCGATGGCGGCGGAGACGAGGAAGAACCATTTCTCGTCTAGGGAGCCGGTGAAGGTGTCGAGGGTGTCGAGGTTGGAGAGGGAGTCGATGGGTTCGGCGGGGAAGAGGGGTTTCCAGTTCCAGAGGACGAGGCCGGCGTAGGTGGCCACGGGGGGCAGTTCGAGGTGCGCGCAGGTGGAGAGGAAGGGGAGGGTGAGGGGGGGAGGGATCCATTCGGAGGGCGGGGAGGAGGACCAGATGTAGGCGTGGGTTAAGAAGGCTAGGGCGCTGTAGGCTCGGCGCCATTGCGGGGCGCTGGTCAGGCGGGAGGTGGAGAGGATGGGAAGTTTGTCTACTACTTCGTGGAGTCTTTTGCTGAGGATGAGGCCTTGGAGGTTGTTTATAATGTGCTCCCAGGGCTCGTAGTATGGGTCGGAAAGGGACTCGAGTGGTGGCTCGTCGGAGAGGAAGCCATTGGTGGGGGAGACGTCGTAGTCTTCGAGTCTCGGGATGGGGATCATGGTGATGGATACCAGACGCAGGCTTGCGACGTGGGAGACGGAGTCTTCACGCAACGCTGCAAGCCCAGCCGTATAGTTTCGTGTGAGAGTGGCTCTTCGTCGAGTGTGGTCTTGTCCGTGGGGTTCGGGGTGTAAGTCGGGTTGTGAGGTTCGTGGCTCTCGGAGTTAAGACGGCTGCAGGCGGTGGGGGAATTGAAGTGTGTTTGAGTGGTCTAGAGTGGGTGTAGCTCGGGTCGACGTTGGTCACGCGAGAGCTGGATATGTCAGGCAGAGGAGGAAAGGTAAGTCGAGTGTGAGAAGGAAATGGAAGGCAGAGGGAAGAATGGAAGTCGCAGGCAAACACAACAGGGTCGTTCCTTCTGCCGATATAGTCCGGACCGGAGAATAATATGATGATGATGAACAATCAACGTTCTGGTGTAGGGAAAACGGGATGAGAAATGCCTCTCCACTTATTGAA